TTCAACAATTTGAGATTCATTATGCTTCACATCATTCATGTGGTTTCTATAATGGCTACCAGTGTGCCCTCAGTTTTCTCCTGACTCAGCAAATCCTCCCCTTCACCCAGAGTCTCCCAGACGAGTCAGGGATGCCAGTTAATTGTAATTAGAACCACTGTAAGCATAACTATTGCTGTTACACTCCACTAATGAAGCAGGGCTTGCTCGGCCCCTGGGTGTTTACCCCAGTGTAATCTATATGTAGCATTGATGCAGGGAGGAAAGGTGAGAACAGATGGAAAGTTGGACTCTGGCCTTGTGCTGGCTGTGGTGCAAGAATGGCACCTTGTGGTCAGACCTGGTATTACACCTTGAGGATCAATTGTTCTGTACATGGATAGATTTGATGTTCTGTTCATTTTACTTTAACTTGACTGTAAATGCTTTCAAAAATGGACCCAAATTTATAACTATAACATATTTTCATTTAACAGTATGAAGCCAACATCTCCGATTTGTTTGATGATTCAAATAGTGAATGAATGAAATGAAATTAAACTAAATGTATATAGAGTACAGGTTCAGTTGTTTTTAGTATTTAAAAAAGTGGAACTGGGGTATTTTAAATCAGATAAAAATAAAACAAGAATATAGAGTGTAATTACTAATTACAAAGCATTTACAGCAGTGGTTTTTTTTTTTTTTGCTTTCCTGAGTCTCCAAAAACTATTTTGCTTTTGTTGACATGAACCCATGAAAGTTTAATGATTCCAACTGAGGTGTTAAAACCACAAGGCTACAAAAATAGTGTATAAAAAAACCAACCATTAAATATTGAGTGTATACAAATAAGCACAGTTGACAATTTGAACATATACATTAAAGAATGATGAGTTATATAGATTTTTATTTTCTTTTTCATTTGTGAGCCTCTTAATTTGCTTTAAATTATCAAAATGTGATACCAAACTGTAGTGTTTGTATCGCAAATTATGTTACTATATAACTGCTTGTACAGTATGTGAACTGTGTATTTTAGTCAGAGATAAACCTGCAAATAAACTGACTAGAATGATGACATTTTCAATACATCATTCTACAGAGACGTCATTCGAAAAGATTTTTGTGGAGTTCTGAAAACTAGAGCTAACGTTAAAATATGTGATAGACAATTATTTTTGGCCGTTTAAAGTGTTTATCAGGGTAGAAAATACTGAATATTAGTGATCAGCGGGACTTTTTGTCATCTCGTGAAAATGGTTGTCACCTTGTCAGTGACATATATCCAAACTGTTCTGGTTTATAAAACAGAACTTACAGTATGGGTTCTTAGAGGTTCAGGTTATGGGAACCTCCAGCTTATTGGTTATTAAGTTACTGTCATGGAAAAGGCCTAATAGTGACTATATGAGCATTTCTTTTTTTCCTTGTGCAATACTATTTGTATTCTGATCTCATTGTTATAAACTGTAACATCTGGAATCAAACCTGATACCTGCAAGTGAGCAAAGGTCGTAATCTTCTTTCATATATGGTCCCGTTGTCCTGCTTGTATGAGAGCCAGAGGCCTCATCATGTCCCCGTCCACATGCAAGTTCTCCTTATTGTAATAGTTTTTAGAAGTCTTTGCAGTAGCCTTTTATTCTTTTTTAATGTTCCTATGGTGTAATAGTTAGCTGAGCCTCATGTAATAGTCTATGTTTAAATGCTCTCTTCTCATTGTAATAGTTGGCAGAAGCTCATGTAATAGTTCATGTTTTGTGTGTGAGCAGGCTCTCAGGTAACAGGGGCCCTGCATATGAAATGAGATGGTAATGAGGAGGAGGAGGGGAGCCTTATCACTACAGGGCCAAATTCCGACAGTGAATTGCGCAGTTGTAACAAAAGTAACAGAGCGTCCATTCAGCCTGCACTAATCCAGATGGGAAAGTCAAACAGCAGAAAGTCCACGGCACAAACTCATTTCATCACTTTATTAATTTAGATATTGCCTCCTCGCTCCTGTGGGGAGAAAAAAAGAGCCCCTTCTGAAATGACCAACATTGGTGAGGCGTTTTGCTCTACACGGTTCCCCCACTTCGTCTCCTCCCGTTATCTGTTTAATTCATCCCACCAATCTTGGCTGTCTTTACCCACTAAATTTCCCTTTGACACGCATGCCTTGCTTCGGATAATCCTCACTCCAGGGCAGAATTAAAAATGGAAAAAAGAGGAGGGAATAGGACAGGTGGCTGGAGAATCCTTGAAATAATGTTCAGTGCCAGACCCAGGAATGATTTGACCAGATTCAAACTATGGGGCTGATAGGGAGGGAAATATTTCTCCCTTTATTTTTGGAATCAAGAGGTAAGAAAAGGGCGACAGGTGGAAAATGTGCAGACTGAGAAATCCCTCAAGAGCCAGGTTGAAAAGTCGGTTCTACATTGTGGTGCCAGAATGACTTCAGGGTAAGGAAGATGAATATGTCAAAATGTGAACTCTTTGGAGGTCCGATTTGAAAAGTTTTCTGTGTTTGCTGAAGACTGACTCTTTCTTTTCCCCCCTTTGCCTATATACATTGTTGACTTGTAGGAGCTCAGATATGTTATCATTACACAGCCATTTGCAGCAGTCGAACAACCACTCTCTGCTTTATCTGACCAAACTGTGTTGACATGCTTTGCCGGAGCAGAGCTTGATATTTCAAGCTACAGTTCTTTGGATAGCAACAGGTCATATCAGCAACAACTGAAATGGGTTATTTTACACATGAAAAGTGCTTGTTTATGATGTGGGTTTGATATGAACAGTATAATGGCATTGAAGCAGCGCTGAAGCCTGCCTGTGCACTGGCTTGTACTATGACTAGTACAAGCTACTGCAAGCTGCAACTTATGATGTTTAGCAAATAACATTTATCCTGTTCAGCATGTTAGTTTAGCATGCTATGTTATGTTTTTCTGACATTTGTTAATTAGCACTAAATCCAAAGTGCTGCTGATGGAAATGGAATTAGTTTTACAGGCGTTGAGTCATAAACCCCAAGTACTGGGCTAGATGAAATTACCAGTATAAACAAAACTAAGTGAAGCTTGTAGGGTACTCTAAAATTCTTTCCACTAGCTTTCAAGACATTTCACTAGAAGCCAAACTCATAGTGGTGCTCAAGGGGATGTCCAGAGGAACACAAAAGTCAGCAGGACCCATCCTCTGTGGACCATGAATGTCTGTATGAAATGTTGTGTCTGTGTATTCAGTAGAAGCTGAGATATTTCACTGACGGTAGATGACTCAACAGACTGACACCGCAATCAATAGAGCCACTAGTGTGTAGTTTCTAGTTCTGTCTTTTTGATTGAAAATGGAATATTTTGATTTAGTTAGAAGATATCACCTTATCTGTAATTTTTCAGATTAAATTATTAAACCAGTGTGTAAAAAAAAGTCAGCCCTCAGTGAAATAAGCACAAGTTGCATTTTATTAAGTTTACATTAATAGGACTGTAGCTTGTTAGTTGATATTGTGTAAAGATGATGCATAGTTATTGATCGGGTATGATTGATTATGGCAGAGGAAATCTGATAGAACACGGGGCCACAATGTTACAATTCTGGAGTAAGACTAAAACAGGGACGAGCGTTTCCTGGTGCGAGGGGGCTGATCTACAGTGCGCTTGCTGTGTGTAGGGGCAGGCTTCGCGGCAAGGCGATGGCGGCAGCAGGTGCAGCACTATTGATTGGGCTCCTCAGGCTGAGACCAGCCAATTCAGAGCACCAGTGAGCTGAGACCGATTGGGCCTCCTGAGTTACAAACTCCCACAGCTCTTCTTCTCTCATCTGCTAAAAAAAATTCTCATTCCCCAGGCAAATGTTTTCAGGGAGAAAGTTTTGAGATTCTTGGTTAAAAAAAAGACTTGAGGAAGGCAAATATCATGTAAGACTTTACTTGAGTCTCTACTGTGATCCTAAAATCACCCTTGTTCATAACTTTAGCATGTTAGGATTAATTTGGACTAACTTGGTCAGTTACAGCTTGTTTATGTTTGAACATTCAAGTACATGAAAAACTGTTGGAAAACCAATGATAGAGACTCACTGGCAAAACTGAATAAAGATACATCAGCCAAACACTGCTGCAGTGGACGACATGTTTCTTCAATATGAAACACCAGACCTGCATATTGGGGAAAAATATTGTCCCCAGTTGCTCCAAACAACCCCAATGTTTTACAGCATCTGAAGCAAGCAAGACTCAACTGTGCATGTGCAATATCTCAATGCAAGTGTGAGGAGCTAGCAAAACTAAGGTTGTATCTGAAATCACTCCCTGTTCACTCATTTACTGCTGCCTACATAATGTACGCTAAGTAGTGCATTCAATAGTGAACAATAAATTGAGATTGCAGACACTTATTGGCATTTTGCGTCATCACTAACAGCTGTAAAACCACTCAACAATAGTTTTCCATCTGATAAAATGTGAAGCATTGCATTGTGGGCTTGTTAGCAGGAAGTAGTGTACATGGCGTGTACTGTACACTAATTCTTATGTTCCATTGTGGATTTTATGACTGCACTATATGTATAGTGGATAGATTTACACACAACATTCAGACACCGCTGCAACATGGTGATCATACTATACATTGTGCACTATGTAGTGAGTTGGGAGTGATTTCCGACACAGCCAAGGCAGAGAGCTCACACAAACATCTTGCCTGTGCACAGTTGACTCTTGCTTGCTTCAGACACTGTAAACAGTTGTGGTCATTTGGAGCTTTTGTAGGTACACATTACCATACTACATTAACATACTACATTAACAATACTCAATGCCTGATGGATTTATAAATAAATTATTTTCTAACATTAGCAAACAATCCTATTATACTGTGCTTTTTAGCTTGTTCTGCTGAGTCTACAACGTCAAAACAATCAAGCAGTTCAACTTTCAAAGATAGTACCTCATATGGTTAAACTTAAGTTTGTCTCCTACTAAAGATTTCTGAGTGTACTGTATATATGTGTGTGTGTTTCAGGCACGGTAAGCTGTTGCCATCACTCCAGGCCAATCAGTTTTCAGCAGCTACGGGGCTGAGCCGCATGCTGATTATCCTGGGGGTGATCGAACCGATTATTAAAGGTGAAAATGTCTCAGAGGAGGTCATCCAGCGTCAGGTCAGGCTAATTCAGCAAACACACACACATACACACACACACTACAATGAAGCAGGTCTTAAAGTCTGTGATACTGATTGCTGCAGAAGCTTTTACATGTTATGCCATGCTGAAAGTGACAGTGCTGATCAAGAAAGATTAAGAGGTGATCTAAGGATAAATATAACAAGGCATGAGGGTAAAAGGTGATATCCTATCATAGTTGTTGAAATGTATATTGTCTGAAGACAACACTTTGGCTTCCTCTGCTCAGACAGTTTCTGGGCTTTCTTTAACCTCATTATAAATACATTATGTTCTCTTCCCATCTTTCCAAATACAGCCACAGGATGGTGCTATTGTGAGAATAATAATCATGTCCCTTCCTCAACAGAGATACTGTATGAGTGGATGATGATTGCAGGTGTCTTCATATCGTCAGAGACTGTGAATTTGGCATCATATTACACCGAATGTCATTTTTAAATAAATGAAACTTGAACCCATTTCTGGAGTTGACATGGCGCTACAAATGAACTGTATCTTCTGATGCCTGCTATATTGTAAAACTCAGCCTTGTGACAGGTCATCCAGTTTGTGAGGAAGGGGCTGTTAATATAAGGTACATGCTTTTTGCTGTGTATTGCAGATGAGATTTTTCTACAGGGGAGGGTTTTAATTTTGTCCAACTCAGATGTGCTGTGAATCATTTTCAAAGAAAACATACAGTTTTGACACTTCTACCTGTCACAAAGGCCTATACTCATTTTTCGCTTCTTATGGAAAACATCTTGGGCAGAAGAGGAGTAATAGATTCTGGTGCTGAACAACAACCATTATCTTTGGTAACATGGGAAAATGCTCCCTATAGACTGAAACCTTATTTTAGCAGGGAAACAAACCTCTAACACTCCTGTAGGGTGCACTAGGCTGGGTGGAGAAGGCTAATTTTGTAGTTAGCTATTGCATTTAAACCATACAGTCCTACTGAAGTTCTTTAAAAAAAAATTCTGCAGAGAAACAGTTTGTACCTTAGTGGCCCTATGTGAATGCTTAGTGGCACTTCCAAGATTCATTCAGCATTAAATGTATTACTGCAGCTGCCTGTGTGATGTGTTGATGCCTGCTTCAGGATGAATGTGAACAGTTCATTAAGACGCCTTGTTCTCTGCTGCCAGCCACCCACGTTTTGATGGCAGAAGTGATGAGGGACCTGTTTCAGCTTTTCAAGTATTACAGTTGTTGCCAAGGAGATAAGGACATCATTGTACTTGAATCCTATGAGGACAGAGAAGGGTTTTGTAGACTGGCTACTGGAGGTTGTAACGTACAGATACACACACTCACGCAACCTCAATAGAGCGTGCAGTCCATTTCTCAAGGGCATGTTCTGTACCCACTGTTTAATTGAGCTGGAGCACAATTGTTTGCTGCTATGTTAACTGCATCACAGCTATCTGGTCTTATCACAAGCGGGTGATGTCAAAATCTGCTCATATTTAAGAATTCACATCCATTTTGGTTTTGTGGTGAACTTTTCCCACCCTGAGCTACAGAATCAGAGAACTGAAGCTTCAGGTGTGATATCAGCATTCTGCTTGGTCTTGCTTCACTGAATGAACTGGAGACCAACTTCATTGGCTTTGTGTAGCAAAAGCTGTAGTTGTTTTTGACAGCTGTTTTTCAGAATCACCTTGCAAATGTAAAGTTTGGATTGAATTATTAAGAAGGTAAATTATTACTTCTTTCTTGGTATTGGAAGATGTTACCAGTTCTGTCTCAGGGACGCAGAGTGTGAGCATATTGTAGGTGCAATGATGTCATAAATTATACTCTCAGTATGTGGTGATTTGGGATAGGTGTAAAGGTAGGCCAAAAGGCAATATGCTGTGACTGGAATAGGTTACTTGCAGTACTAAACATATCATATGCTCAGATAACAACCCAGTGGCAAGGGAACTTGGAGAGTTATTCACTGATTTTGGTTATCAGTGTAAATTTAGAAATAAGTTTCCCTGTAGTGGAAATTACTTAAATTTTCTGCTACTTAAAAACTATAAACACAAATGGGCAGAAGAAATATTCAGCAAACTATGAACATGCAGGTTTTTATTAAATGCTAATTATCATCCAGGTATGAAGGTGCTTTATGTTTTGTTTTCAAGTTTAGAACCTATATAACCATTGCCTGTATAGAAGAGCTGGACAAACCCACCATGACGTCACCCGTTGGTTTTCTGAAGAACAGCTTTGAAACTCAAGCCTGGCTGTTACCATATTTGTAGCACTTCACACTGCCTGCTAGATCTAATCCAAAAATGGGCAAAACAGGTGTAGTGTGAGTGGAGCTCTCTAGACAGCTAGTGGCCAGCCACCTATGGCGGCACCCTCCCACCTATCATTTTGGAACCAGCCTCGAGTGGCCATTCGAGGAACTGTAGGTTTTGGCACTTCTGCATTGGTTTCATTTCTCAGCCTCGGAGGTTGCCGCTTGGATATAACACACGTATAATGTTCCATGTATTGTCTTGCCTCTGAAGGTAGTGCTGAAAAAAAAACCCAGCAGTCCACCTCCACTTGAAGGATATTTTTCCCCACACACTTTTGCAGCTGCACAGAACACACCAAATACACCTGGGCAACCACACCAACAACCAGAACATCAAACAATCCCCACCCACCCCGCTCTACATACATCCTGCCCAGAAGGGCACTATAAGGGGATCCTGCCAGGTGCTTCCCCCTAAGGAAATCTGGGGGACCCTACCAAGTGTCTCTCTACCCCCAGTGCTACACAGCCCTCACCTGGATGGTTAACTGTCCTAACTAAACACAGTCATACTAAAGTCTCTTACGTGTGAGGGGTTGCCTGCACAGGCGCTGAGTCCACTCTAGTGGCTCCTGGGCAGCTAGTAGAGAGGGGTCTAGAGCTTGTGTCCTGTTGCCTGACTCTTCCCCCCTCAGGTGAAGCCATGTGGCAATATGGGGTGGGTCTCACCCTGTACACTGCATCCAACAGTCTTTTCAGTACAGTCCGCTCCACTGGCTCACTGACTGTGGGGACAAGCCCTTCTTTCTTCCAGGCCCGTGGACCCACACCAGTGCGCCAGGGACAAGGTTCTCTCCCAGGCTGCAAGCATCCTTGGCCTGCGCTTGGTGAGGCCCGACATCTGTTGGTGCCCCCACCTGGTCCTGCTGCTGGGGAGCATGCAAGTTGCATGGGAGCCCCCACCTCTGCTGGCAGTGGAAGGAACCGGCATTAAATGCTTATTCATATATTCACAGATCTCGTTACTGATTAATTTTCTCTATTTATGTTCTTTATAGAAATACCTACTAAGTAACCCTGCCCATCAAAGCAGTGCTGTGGATGAACATTACTTTGTAAACGAAAGTGCAGCTCAAGTAAGGTACTGCAACCATAATTAAAGTATAAGGCCTGCTTTGTTTTGTTAAAATGATTTTCTTAATAGTTTTGTTATTTCTATGTTGGATGTGGAAGTCAAAAAGAACTTTCAAATATGATACAAAATGCATATATACATTTTTGTTTGCTTTTAAAGGGACATCACAAAGTTTAAACCCCTCTCCAGCAGGACACCAGTGAGTGTGATCACTGGAGATTTCTTTGATGAGCAAATACCAGAACCTCTAAACCAGGTGAGAATGTTTACAGTAGCTGCACACATCTTGTCCAGTGACTGAACAGTCCTGTAGAAACTGTTGTCGAAAGCCCATAGCGAACCATTTTTTTCCCTGCACCAGATGGTAGCTAAGCTTCAAAAGAAGTTTCTGGATGAGTCCTACCCATCAGCCAATCACATTCACATAAAAGGAGCAGACTGGCGAATGATCTACAAGAAGCCATCTGCCATCAGCCAGCACCTGAGGAGGCTAGTCAACCAGAGACAAGTCAAACAGCAGAGCGAGTGACCTGTGGTCAAAATTTAACTATACCCCAGATATGTACAGTGTAATCTGAATACTGTACGTTTTAAATCTTCATGTTATGTTTTTAACTTTCCCCTGCAGCCATCTGTAAAGATTGTCTACATGTCTGATAAAGTCAGTTTTAGAACATATTTTTGAACAGCTCTGCTTTACTGAAAACGTTTTAATTGAAGATAGCTACAGGGTTTTCAGTGTGACGATTCAGAAATTCTTCTCTTTCAAGTTGTTATTTTAGTCTCTTTACCTGATTGGTCAGTGAGTAGTGAAAAAATCGACGCATTACTCCTTATCATTTGAAAGGCCTCAACACATATCACTGCTCAACTTGATACATTTTTAAAGATCTCAGTTCTTGATAATCTTAATATTCTGCCATGTTATAACTACAAGTGAAGGTACCTGGTGTTCCTCTGTGCTGCATCAGCTTCACTCATTTGTTACTCGCATATAATTGAGTTGCATCACAACCAGACATACAGTAGAGTTCTGTTGTTGGACTTCTTTTCATCTGATACATTTTTAAAAATTGCAAACAGATGAGTCACCGAATTTAGCATTTTTGTAAACAACTCTTTGGTGTGTCTGTATTTAACTGTGGCAAACATGGACTGTTTATTTATGGATATACTGTAATGTGAAAGAAAGACCAGCCAGCATTGGTTTATCCTGAGGATTTAAGTTTAATTATGACACCACATTAAAATAAAAATTTCCAACAGATCTGGAAGTTAATTCCATCCATATACATGCATAGCAACAACGTTTTAAGAAACATTTTCTCCCTTAATCAGGACATTGGAATGATCATTTTACATCAGTATCCCCACTGATCTCCCACCCATCTTGTTCATCAGCAATAAACTTAATTCTTGTACATCTTTTTTCCCTATGGGGTTACAAATAATTATATGCACAGCCCCCATTTCATAATACTGCTTTCAGTAATTTCCCCTCATTTACAAAGTATTGCATGGAGAGCAAAGTTCAAAAAGGGAGACCAAAGTGTATCATCAAACAGAAATACGAGTACTATACAAGAATGCTGCCATCCTCATGAAAACATCCACATCTGAGTTGAAGAAAAGAGACAAGGACAAACAGCCACATATGTATGCAAAGCATGTGCATATACCAAAATGTGAGATGCAGGGTTGTGCCTGGTTATCACCCCGAGATGATGATGTTTAAGGCTAACAAGTCATTAGTAGTGATCTGCAAGTGACATTTTGGGCATATACAGAAACTGGTACAGCAAATAAGAATACACAAGTGCCTCAGTAGCTATTTTTGTGTCTAAAATGCATCTCATTTTTGTATTGTCTATTGTTTCAGTGAGCCTACATTACAGTGTAAACAATATGTGTGCTACACAAGAATGACTATACAATAACATTACAAACAACTCTGATATAAATTTCATTTTGAATTTAAATTAAAATCACTACTCCTATTAATACTGATTGTAAAATAAATTAATGTGAAAGTGGCACCAATATTATTCTTGATTCATTTTTCTTTTCTTTTTCTATTTTAGCCAGTGGTTTTGCATTTTTAAGTCTGAAAACAATGAAAGAAGAAGCTTCTCTTGATTGTCCACAAGCAGCATTTAGCACTGCATGATGCACTATTCCAGACACAACAGTGTACCAAAACGAAGGAGGAAAAGGTGTTAAAAGGGGGGGAAAGGTGTGGGGAGGAAAAGAGCATGTCTTATTCTTCTCAACTTATTTTACATGCTCTGCAGCATGTGACGAACAGTAAAACTTCTTATGGGTAATAAAGTTTGATAGGTTGTTGAACTGGATATCACAGAGGCGGCAGTACTTGCCACTTCCAGAGTTGTTCACTCCTTTATTGGCTGTGGGTGCTGCCTCCTCGTTTGGGGACTTGGAGGTGGGTGACATGTTCTCGTTGGAGTCAGCCTGGTTCTCAGTGGTCCACGTGGGTGAGGGATTCGGGGGTTGGCTGTCTGGCTGGGGCTGGTTCTCCTGCTGTGGTGGAGCTGTGCCTGAATGCTCCTCGGGCTTGTGCCCCCCGTTGACGATGACCATGCTCCGGTTTTTGGGCAGTAGAGGAAGGGGTTCCTTGCCAGGGTGGGGGCAGCCATTAGCAGCAGGCTGCTGGATCTGCTCTCTGGCTGTTCCCGTCTCTCCTCCTCCTCCTGCACTTCCTCCTCCCCCGTTAATGCTCTGCTCCTGCTCACTAGCCTCTCCCTGCATCACTGGTCCCCCGGCCACGTAATCGGTTGGCTTTATCCCAAAATATGGTGATATTTGCTCAGGACCTTTCACCTTCTTTATTGCTCCAGGATAAAGGCAGTGGGGCAGAAACATATTCTTGTTCTCATCTTTTGATGGGATGAGCTGGGGCTCAACAAAAGGCTTGTGTCCCACCACAGGCCCCAGGTGGGGGGGGAACATGCCTCCATTCTGCACCATCACCTTCCCGTTGCCATTCTTCTCACATTTGCCTGGGCTCTTATCGTAGATGTCATCAGAGTTGTTATTGCCTTCACTCTTTACATCTGGGAACATGTTTGGCTCCAGACTGCCACTCTCATTGTGTTGCTGCGCGGTGGCAGTGGCTGTTGCAGGGCAAAAGTTCTGCTTGTGTGCCAGGTAGTTCTCCACCTTATTAAAACTTATCTTGCACACTGCACATTCATGATAGTCCAACAATCTTTTAGGAGAGCTACATGTCTTGTCAGGGACTGGCGAACACTTTTTGCTTAGATCAATGGGCGCGTCAAGCTCCTGCTGCTCCACGGCATTGCATTTGGGAGTCAGAATAGGTTTAGTGACAGTCAGAGAGGCCTCCAGGTGTTTGGGTACCATACCTGGGAAGATGTCACACCGGGGTTGGAAACGATCTGCTAGGCTCTCTACAGCTTCCTGTGATGTACAAGCATTTATAGGAGGAACTCCAAGGAAACCTGGTTGACCCATAGGGTGCCTCTGGTGGTCCTGGTCAGGGAGACACATCTCGTATATCTTCCTGCGCTTGCGGGTTCTCATGGTTCTCTGCATGGAGGGCACCTTGTTGGTGGACATACGTTTCATGGGAGGATCATGACGTGTGGCACAGTAGTACTGCTTGTGGACCATGTAGGTCTCATGACGGCTGAAAGTGATATTGCAGGCCTCGCAAGTTGTCTTGTTTGGATCATTATCACTTTCCACCAGACCTGTACTGGGGCTTTTACCATCCATCTGCTTGCCATTCAGCCTTTCCTCAGCCCCAGTTGGAGTAGAGACCTTCTTCACCTGTCCTGCTAGGTCCTTATCAGGCCCTTTAGCCCCAGCATTGATCATGTCCAACACACTGGAGTTCAGACAGGCAGACTGCATGAGGTGGCTCTCAGCCTCGGTAGGGTGGCAGCCAGCCAACATGCTAACAGAACTGTGACCACTGTTGGGACTCACCGCCTCGGGGACCTTATCTGAGAGGGCAGAGAAATCAGGAGACTTTGCCATGTGTTGCCAGCGACTGTTACAGTAGTGCTTTTTGTGGACCAAATAGTTGTCCAGGTTGCTGAAGGTGATATTGCATTCGAAACAGGTGGCCCCTTTGGGCATAAGAGGACTGTAGATGACAGGGGGGTAGCTGTTCCCTCCATGGCGTAGCCTACGGTGAACTAGCTCTGACATTTTAGCCAGAATCTCAGATGCCTGTGGGACTACAGAAATGTCTTGGGAGAAAGCAAACTGAGACAAGAAGGGGCCCATGGGAAATGTAGGCATGTTATGCTGCACAGGAGAGGAGGCCAGCCGGGGGCTGGAGGGCTCAGATTTGATCCTAGTATAAGAAAAACTGGCTTTGTTGCCTGGGTGGGCCTCTCCCTTCTGAACTGAAAGGATAGGCTTCTTCTCAGTCTTGTCAGCCTCTCCGTCTGTGCTGGTCTCCTTGTTGAGGGCCCCTTTGGGACTTCCCAGCAGAGCATCCTTCCTGTTGGCCAGCTCAGAGCGGGCCTGCTGCTGCTGGTGGAGGCTCTCCTCAGACCCCCTGGGGGAATGCTCAGTGCCGTCGCCTTCTCTGTGAAGTTTGCTGCCGTGCCCATGTAAGTCCTGATGCTGTAAGAGTTCCCTGTGGTTCTGGAAGCTGATATGGCAGTGATTGCATCTGAAGGCCGCCTGTGACAGGTGAGACATGATGTGATGCTGGAATGTAATAAGAGAATCTGCCGTGTAGTTACAGATTGTGCATTTCAAGCTGGTGCCAGGAGGGAGGCTCTCTTCCATTTTGACACCTGTGAAGGAGATAAAAGGGAAAAATGCTCAGAATCTCGCCTCCCACTTCTCCTTTAGAGTTAACTGTAGAAATCATCAAGCACTCATGCATTATGCCAAGTTCATTCCTATCCACTAGATTTTTTTATTTTTTTTTTGCTCAAGGATAAACTGTCAACTGTGCTAGCTGACAGCAGGATATGTATATTTCTGAAAAGAAAAGAAAGTGATTTTCCCAAACCTGTGTATAACACTGTCCCTGTGTCATTTCTTTCTAAAACAACACAATTAAAACCCCCTCACTGATAAAAATTGAACATAGCCATCTTAAAGGGGGAAAAAAGTTTTCTTTTCTTGTTTTCTGCACGAACTAATCATTGTCACTCACCACTGTGTGAGGTGCTCAAGTGCATTTCCAGGGCCCTGGCTCCAGAGAAGCTCTTGTTGCACTGAGGGAAGGGACAGATACTGGGGGTGTGGTGGGGTCCAGTGTCATTTTCCTCCACTACTGTCTCTGGCTCCCTCTGTCGCCCGCTGCAGTAGTACATCAAATGGGCCTGCAGGTTCCTCTCACTCCGAAACCAGATTCCACATGCCTTACAGGGGAAGATGTCCTCTGAGGGGACACAGAAAGGGACAAAGACGACATGATATCAGGATACATACAGTATTTTCATATTTATGCACAAGTATAAAGAGCTTGTGTGCATGCATACACACACATTCCTCTTCTATACTTTTCCAGTTCTGACTCTCAAAGCCTGTGTTAAAAGGCTTTTCCACCAAATCCTCAGCTGCTGCATATCGCTGTGTTGGTGCCCTTTCTCAAGGGCAAACAAGAACACTGGACCATCTGCTTACAGAAGCTTCCCTGCTGAGCTGAACCCAGATAGCCCTCGCTAAGTAAACAAACACACTATTTGCATGAGGCGTGTATTTTGCAATTAACACGTTAGTTCGAGCCTCAGTGTGTTTATGTGAACCCAGAACTTGAAGGTCGGTGGCTCTTATCTCCAGTGCATAGACTCATCTGGGTTAATCTACGCCCGGCGGAGACGACGTTCCTTGTTAAGCAGGTGACTGAGAGCTGTGGACTGGTGTGTGTGTGTGTGTATGTGTGTGTGTGTGTGCGTTGGGAAGAGTGAGACAGAAAGGGAGTAAGAACAAGAGCGTGTGTGTGACTGAGCATGTTTAAACAAAAGTACATCTAATTCTAGCTCCTGTACGTGTGTTCTGCTGTGCAGATACTCACTGTTGACGATGGCGGTGGGAAGGATGGAAGCCATTGCGGCCTGCTGTGGCAGGAGCTGGATGCTGTCCAGCAGCCTGGCTGGGTACATGCCCTCGCTCAGAGACATGTGGTTTACTGCCTGCAGACGTGAGTCAAAGTCCACAGCAAACGCCACCAGCTCCTCGCCCTCCATCATGTTCTTGGTGGTGGTGCACCACAGTTGACCACCTGGACAAAAAAAGAGATACAGAAAACATTTAAAAGACTGCTGTCAGAGAGTAGAAAAGCTTTACTACATGTGCACGTTTGTACATGAGCAATTCTAGTCTTAAAATGTCAGAGTCATTGTATGGAACGGAAAAAATATTTGTGTCTTCAAAGTTTCAGTATCTCTGTGGTGTGTTGCATAGGAGTATGTATGTATTGGTGGGGTAATTCAAATGAGGTTTAATAGCATTTTTACATAAAAAGTCCCAAGAAATTAAAGGAGAAAAGCACATAAGCTACAAAAACCTTACTGTATTTCCCACTTTTCCGGATTTCTGCCAACACTCTGACACACCGAAGTTAACTGGATAACTGATAGAGCATGATATCAACAGTTTTCATAGGGTCTAGTTTTTGTGTGATTCCAATGAAAACTCTTCACGGTGAGGTCTGTAGGTTATACAATGTAATAGAGGCACTGTTTCAGGAAAGAAACACTACTTTTTAACTTTTTCATTTTTCACTGCTATGAGCAATGACTGTGAATGAAATTCAATTCACCTCCATTGTCTGGGTCAGTAGAATTTTCAAGGGAGAAATCTCAGACACATCTAAAAAGCTGGTCAAATAAATGTACAACTAAAGATAAATGAAAAAAAAGCTTTTGTAATTTAATGAATAAACCATCTAAATAGTAATTTCTTTCTTCTCCCATGTCTTTTAGGCTACCGGTGCTCAAATCCACAACCAAGGCAAACCTCAGCTGGAGTAAACTGTAGCCTACAGTGCTGCTGTCAGCGAGAACACAGAGAGGTCCTCGATATTATTAGATTGTTGTGTTTTGGGATTAAGGATTCCTCTGAAATCTTCTGAACATATTCATTAAGTCAGAAAAAAGGGGAGGGGGCAGGAGGAAGGAAGGGGGTAGAAGGAGAGGGGGAAGGTTTTAGCTTAGATAATATTTATCTCAGCACATGACAGGCTTTTCAGCTGCACTCCATTTTCCATTGAAGAGATTAAAGTTTTTAATATGACTATTTACAGAAATCTGGCTGAGGAGATAGCAACAAACTATGATACGCTCCTGCTAAATGGCAGAATTAGGACATTGTTTCTGAGGAAAACCGGACAATTAATTAAAGCATGCTGTTAACTTTCAAAGATGTGCAAACAGACCGACGGAGTGTCAGGCTGAGAGGGGACGTGTTTTGAGCCCTGGCTGATATGGGATAAAGTGAGTCCTGAGGAGAGGTGTGAAGGCAGGGGGATGCAGCTACAAAGCCCCCACACATGTGGAACACTGATTACTCATGTTTCCACAAAATCTATGAATCACCAGGTTTAAAAGTGCCCTGCAGACACTGTCAAGGTGCTCGAGTGAGGCTGTGTCTGAAAGCAATCCACTTTTCTGGATTTATCAGAACTAGAAAGCCACGCAAAGTAAACTGTGCCACCATGTTTTTACACTACCACAGCATTATGTATAAATGCTTGTTGAGCTTCTAGAATGAATTGCCCCATTATTTCAATTCAAAATTGAATGTTTCAGATTTCACATTGCTGTTTTGATTAAAGTCTTTCCAGCCCTCCCTATCTGCTGTTGAGGCACTGAAAATTAGACCAGCACAAACGTGTCAAAGAAGTGAAATGGTATTAAAATATGCTATCTCTCAAAGTCCCCATTTGTGTGCAGGCTTCCTATGAGCGTGTGTGTGTGTGTATGTGTGTGTGTGCTCGTGCGTGGCTATGCGTGCATGTCAGCACCACTTTAAAGAGCAGTGCCTATCTGTCGGCCAATCTGCTGTGACGAGACACACTTCAGGCCGCTCCACTTCATCGTTTTGATTCTGTCATACCACACACTGCCTGGAGAGGCCCTTTGAATTTTTATCTCCTAATTAAAATAACAAAACTCCTCTCCACTGTCTGCCCAACTTACCATCAAGGTAGATACAAACTGCCACTGACAATGGTGGGGAATATATCGCAGTCATAGCCACAAAAGTTTCTCTCCTCTGTATGGATCTCTTAGTTCAGACGCACTCATCTTACAAAGAGAATTATGAACTAGAACCTGACACACAGATACAAATCAGTGGTTTTTGGATCAGTCAAAATCACAGATACTGTATTCTCTCCTCAGCTGAAATGAAACAGATTATGTGGAGTCTGATGAAAATGTTTTAGTGCATTTTGACAGTGAAATATGCACTCAGATTGCTACCCTTCAGCCAAGGATGCTACAGATCCATCTGTTGTGTGTGAGAATGGTGGAACTGAGTTTTAAGACTGCATGTCCCCGTTTTACAAAACACTGAGGCAGCACTCTGCTTGTTACAGTTGCTCAACCAAGACAAGGTAGTAAGATGCATGTGCTTTGGCTGCAGGATTATGCTTTAAACTACACTTATATTGTCATTAGAATCAGAAATCTTAGCTGTTTCTTGCAGATCTGTGGCAGTTTTTCTGCAGTTTTGTTCATTCGGCCTCTAGATTTTGACAGTTTTTTAAAAAATATACCATGCTCTGTGCAGCTTTATATCAATATTTCACATAAGTCATTCAAGAATCTAAAACTTAAACAGTACAGATTTGTACAGCAATTTGCTCATTTGCTCGCAAGCAAATACAAGTACATATGCACGGGGAGGTTGGGGGAAAGGGTCAACAGTTAGAGCAAAAGACCAAAACCGTAAGTCGTGAAACTGGGGAAAAGGCTGGGAAAAGTGCAGCTTGTGCTTTGCACTTGTTTGCCTGCTAACTGTCTGCAGTGAACTGCCTTTGTGCAGTGGCCAATGCAGTTGGAATGAAGGCTATTGTCTAAATCCTCCTGCAAAGCACCTGATAAAAGAATAAAGAACTATGACATATTCTAAAAACAATGGAGGAATTAAGGGGAGACAATAGGCCAGCTGCCTCATTAAAACAATCAAAAACGGCATCCTGTATGTAGTCCAGATAATTAAAAACCACTGCTTCCTACAGTCTCTCAATACCATATCCACCAGCTCGCTGAGGCCCTGAGACTATGGCTGTGCTGGCTAAATGCCCCTCTCTTCTCTTTGATTAATGGTTTATTTGAACATGCAGTTGAAGATGAACATATGAAGGAATTCATGAAACAAAATTATAATGCAAACCCTTTTCCCCCATAAGTACTTATACACTAATCAAATGTCACAGGATGAATCACTGGGACGTGGAGCGTGTGTCCCCTCCCCTTTGCCAAAAGCCCTGAGAGATTTCAAAGTGCAGCCATCACAGGGCATTTTTTTTTTTTAATTTTCTCACTTTAAATGAGTTTTTAAGAAATGGTTGTGTACAGTATCTGTATGTATGTATGGAGGAGGGAGGGAGAATAGAGCATGAGATACTTGAGCAGGAAGATACAGTGTGTGTGTGTGTATATATATATATATGTATATACATATCTTCCTGCAACCCACTACCACCACCATAACTTAATGAAGCCACAAACAAATCTCTCATGCCTCGTGCAAAAGCTGAGAGACAACAAAGCAGCAGAAATAACAGAAGGGCCTGGATAATTAAACTGGCCTGAAGACAGGTATTCAAATGTTGGTGTGTAAACAGCACAACTCTTTAATAGTTGAGCTGTAAAATGCGTAGTTAAGCACATCAGCACTTGCCTCTCCCATCTGTCCAAACACATTACCGTTGCAGAGGCCATTACAGCACTGGAGTACAGTCCCACTGCACCATAGCCATGTATTATGGGAGGGGTTGAATGAGGCTTCTGGGAACACTCACATTGGTCACTTGGCATTATCTTAATGCATCGTGGGGCCACGTATATATAAAGCATCACGGTGCACTTTGAGGAACAGGAGAGTTTGCTACATAGGAAATAGTCTGATGACCTTTTTATACATTTTAAAGAGAAAACATTCAAGTATGTGATAGTAGACTTAGTTTGTAGCTCCAGTTTTTCTTTGTCAACCCTGATGTTGATGTGCAAACTTCTTTTCTTCTTTTGCCCCTTAAAGTTCTTGTCTCTGTCTATTGGCTCTGTGCTAACTGCTGGTCTTAATTGTGAAGTGAGGCCAGCGGTGCCTGAAGCCATGGAGAGGGTTGTAATTAAAGACCTCTACTCTTCTTGTCTTCAAATCAGCTCCAACTCCTCCTGGTCAAATGAGAACAAGCTCCTCGTACTTACGAATATCAAGTAACTGCATGTTGTTAACCACAAGCACTTTATTATTATTATTTTTAAACAAAGCTTTATCATAGGAGGAGTAAATTACAGCTCCACACACACAGAACAATTTCCCTGTCAACTTCACTCGATTGTGTGAAAATATTAGTCATAAATCATGGATGAATAATATCTGTATCTGCACCTGTCAACAGACGGTGCTGTGACAAACACTAAACAAATTCTCCTCATGAATACTGGTAAATATTTGGACTGTTTCTGGATCATCAGAGTTGAACACATTAGGATGACTCATGGCTGTCAAACCAAGCTGGAGCAAGCAAGCAGCAGAAAGGAAAATGCTGAGTTAGATCTGAGCACGAACATCATTCACAGGGTCAAATAAGCTTACTATTATTGACGGTACACTAAACTAGAATTAGCTGACTCGACTATTATTTCAGTAAGGCAGTGACACAGATTGACTCCCTACCTCTATCTCTCTTTCAGTCTCTTCCTCCCCTGCCTCCTCCTGCTAATGTTTTCTCTCGGCCACTAGGAGGCACTCTTCCCATGCTCAAGCTGCAGATGGTGGATGTTGGGCCGTAATGATGCAGAGACATCTCATACATGGCAGAGCAGCACAGACGCCAGTCTGCCTATACATCCTTGCAGGTAGGTGCTACACATCTTTCTCTCATGAGAAATGTATTTGGATCAAAAGGCATTCTTCCGACCTCTTTCCGACTCAGTCATGACCTGGAAATTATGTAGTGTACGCTTACATACGTGGAACTAAAACGTTCTATGATTTTTGTTTGTAGTTGTTGTATGTCTATGATGACAGTGATAAAGCATGCCAGGA